ACACGCCCTGGGGACGTTGCACCCTTTGAGAGACACCAGACACAAAAGACCTGGGAGGGCCCTGGAGGAGGCCGACTCACAGAGACCAGGAGGGCCGAGGCGACACCTGCTTTTTTAGGAAACAGACACCCGAGGCAGGCGCTAGCTTGCGTCACCAGGTAGGGACAGATCCATGCGGGTTTGGTGCTGCTCCTGTCATCCTGAGCACCACTCTGTCCTGAGATACTGAGGTAGTCGGCCTGATTGCCACCTCCACAGCCCCAGGAGGCCTCTGACGAGCTCCCAGCCTGGGGCTGGAGATAGGATCAACCGCAGGGCTGTTTCTTCTGCAAGAGCCCGCAGGCAGCGCTGCCTGGGCCTGCAGTCACGGGACACATGGGGTCCCCGGCTCGGCCACATGGGGCCAGTCAGGCTCTGAGGGACAGGAGCGTGCAGCCCACAGCCCTGTGTTAGTGGGCTTTCATGGCTTATCTCATGTCCCCTCTGCAAGGCCTCATGGACGGGGTGCCAGCGCCTGCCGCCTGTGCAGATGAGGACAGGAAGGCAGAGTGCAGAGCAGCCAGTGCAGAGCAGCAATGCCCATGGCCACATAGAAGGCTCAGGGCTCTCTACGTGGCTCAGCCCAACGCATGGGGTGGTCCACGCGGCTACAGAGCAGTGGCCAGCAGCTCTCCCTCCTTCCAGCCTGCCCCCACGCCCCCCGCCCCGGGGCCAGATCACGTCACCAGCCTCCTCCCCACCCCCTTCTCCCTCACCCAGACTGGCCTCTCCCAACCCACATTCCCCACTGGTTCTCCACAGGGCACAGCCGCCTCCCGCAGCCCCAAAGGCCCACGTGTCCCCACCACACCCGACCGCTCCTGGGCCAGCACTGGCCATTCCAGGACGAGGAGAGGCCTAAGCATCTGTCCCCAGTGAAGACAGCCTCTGGGGGACAATTTCCCGAGCCTGGAGCCAGAGGGGCTATAGAGACCTGAGCCCCAGGAGAGCGGTGGGTGTGGGCCCCCGGAACTGACTCACATATGAACAGGGAATCTACGCAGATCCTGAGCCCCAGTGGGTGTGGGCGCCCCGGGACCGATTCGCAGATGAAGGGGGATCTACACAGATCCTCCAGCACTTACAGAAAGGAAACCGCGGAGCAGAGGCCACTTTCAAAGGCAGTACTGTGGCATGAAAACCCCACTCTGGGGCAGGGGCTCGTGGGGGGGGTC